AATTAATCTTGAACAAACTTACATTAAAAAATGAATTTATTTGTATTTTTCTAAATATAATGGTTAATTATCATAAGTTCATAAGTGATTACCCTAGTAAAAAAAAGGATTTTCACAATTTTAAAATAATCAATTATGTTAAATAATATGAAAAACTAAAATTTTAGAAATAATCAATTATAATTAATAATAATCTATTATATTAGATTCAAAATAATAATTAATTATATTTAAATATAATATATGACAACTCCTTCAATTTACTTTTAAAAACAAAAACTTTTAAATTTCTTCATAAGAATATCATTCAATATTTCTTAAAACATTACAAGAATTTTTATTTTTACTTATGGATTTTTATTGACAAATCGATAAATTTAAATTTATTAACCAATTTTAAAATTTAAATTATCAATAGATATTATCAATGAATCTGTTAATGAAATTCGAAAACAAAATCTATTGATAATTTACCATATATATTATTGATAAATATTTTTATTAATAATTTATTTGATGTTTAACTTTGTCAATCATTTGTAATTCTTATTAAGAAATTTTTTCTTCAATAAATTAAACAACAAATTTCGTATTATTTTTTATGATATTTTTAATATATTAAGAAAATATGAGTGAGAAGAAAAAGAAATAATGAGGAAGAGGAAGAAGAAAAGAAGGAAAAGTTGAAATAAGTGACGGTGGCAACAATGAAAGTGTGATAATTATGTGGAGACATAACAACAATATGGAAGTGACGCAGAGACACGATTGGGGTGACAACTAGTGTTAGTGGAGGAGGAAGAAAAATAAAAGAGGGATGAGTAAAAGACAACAATATGACAATGAACACGACAACGGTACATAATAAGGAGAAGATGAAAAAGAAAGAAAAGGAAAAAAAAAGAGAAAAAGGAGAACCCAATTGTGAATTTTCCTGACTAATTTTACTGATAACTAGAATTCGTTACTAATATGAATTTACTAATAGATTGATAAACATTAGTGAATACTAACAAATTTTTGAATTCATCGATAAAATTTGTTGACAAATATATTGTTGTTGATAATCCCTCATTAAACTCAAATTACTGAGTAATTATGTGTATCGATAATACACAAATTTCTTGTAATAAGAAAAAACTAATTGAACTTCAAATAAATAGTTTTCTTAGGTTATAAATCGTGTTTTGTTTATAAAATAGGTGTTCAAGATTCACTATAAAAGGTTATCATGTTATAGTTTTCTCTCAAACATTTGTTACATTCTAGTGATACTTTTCTTTTTTTAAAACTGAATTGATAAGTTTACAACAGTGTTTCATAAGATTAAGAAAGAAAGAAATAACACTTAAAGATTATACTCTCTTTTAAAACAATTTTAAGAAAGATATTAAATTGCTGGCCCACAACAACAGTTTGAGGCCTTAAAGCCTTTTAGCCTAAGAAGCAGAGACAATAGGTCTCGCTAGAAGCTTCCTCACGTGAGAAGCCCTTTCATATCAAACTTCATGAGAAAACGCGAGAGAGAGAAAAGCGAAGAGGAGATCTCCAAGGTGTTGCTCCGGTGAGCAACTCAGCGACGATGGCCTAGCCTATAGTGCCACAGATTTACATTTACATGTTCATAGGAGAAAGCAAAACTAGGTGCTAGATTCCTTTCAAAAGGTTGCAGGTAATAAAATCCTTTGTACGCATTAGCACATCCAATCATCTTCAATGTAGATCTGTCCTGAATAAAAGTTAATATGCAGTCTATATCTTTAGTTAGGCTTTGGACAGATATAAGGTTGAAGGAAAAATCAGGTATGTACAAAACATTAAAAATTATGAATTCTTTAGAAAATTGCACAGTTCCTACATAATGGGCTGGTACAATGGAATTATTTGGTAGTTTGACAGTTATAGGTTTAATCTTATTGAATGTCATGAATTGGTTTTTATCATGGGTCACATGGTAAGTGGCCCATGTATCTATAATCCAAGAGAACATACATTTTCTGTCTTCTGTAATATTTTTGTGTATTTGGCTGATGCTATGTGAAGAGCTGTCAGCTTTTTCAAGCATTTGCAGAATTTTTTGCATATGTTCAGGAGTGAAAGAACTCTGGATAGGACTAAACTACTTTGTTGACTGGTTTGTGCTATAGTGGTGGTAGAACAAGCATTTGCGGATCCCCATTCATTCTGTCCCAAATTATTTTGTGTTGTTACTGTCATTCTTTTTGTACCATGGTGGATATCCATGCTTAGAATAACATTCATCAACAGTGTGATTCATTTTATGGCAGTGAGAACATTGTTTCCCATGGTTGGGATTTCTTCCCCTTCCTCTACCTTGACTCTAGGGGGCAGATCCGCGTCCATGGGTCTTCCAATTATGGTCATTTCTCCACTGCCCCTGTCTTTCATTGGTGCTGGCAAGAATTTTGATATCATTCTGATTTGTGAGTCCAGAATCATGTTTTTCTTGTCTTTCTTGTTGTATAATCAGTGAAAACACACGATTAATGTTAGGCAAAGGTTCCATTAATAATATATGTGTTCTCACAATATTATAACACTCATTTAGGCCTTTTAGGAAGCAGATAACATGTTCTATCTCCCTGTATTTATGCGAAACCTTGGACAGATCACAGCTGCAAGGTTTGAGAAATTCCAATTCTTCCCATAGAATTTTCATATCAGTGAAATACTGACTTACACTCCTTTTTCCCTGTTTAATAGAGTGTATTTCTTGAAGCAAGTCAGATTATTTAAAATAATCTCCCTTGGAAAACCTTTCTCTCAATTCTTCCCATAGTTCTTGAGTATCTTCAACGTATATGACGTTTTTTGCTATCTGGGATGAAAGAGTCTTTATGATCCAAGATAGCACCATCATATTGCTCTTCTCCCAAGAATCAAAAAGGGGATCATCTCTTTGAGGTTTCTTGATCCCTCCGTCTATAAACTTCAGTTTGTTCTTGGAGAGAAGGGCTCTCCTCATATTCTTGCTCCAAGAGGTGTAATTGGACTCGTTAAGAATCTGAGAAATAAGGGAGATGTCTGGGTTTTCTCCTGGATGAAGGTAAAAGGGGCTGGAAGGATTGTTGAGTTGATCCATGTTTTTCATAATACCAAGAAAGATTGAAAGAAAAGATTAGCACCAAGAAAGCAAGAAATTTAAGCGGAAGCAGAGGTAGAACAGGTCCAAGACCTGCTCTGGTACCATATTAAATTGCTGGCCCACATCAATAGTTTGAGGCCTTAAAGCCTTTTAGCCCAAGAAGCAGAGACAATAGGTCTCGCTAGAAGCTTCCTCACTGAGAAGCCCTTTCAGATCATACTTCATGAGAAAACGCGAGAAAGAGAAAAGCGAAGAGGATATCTCCAAGGTGTTGGTCCGGTGAGCAACTCAACGACGGTGGTTGGACGAAAAAGAGATGGCAGAGGCTAGAGAGAGAAGAACACAACACCAAAGGTAAGAGAAAGTTGTAATCTTTTTGTTATTTCTGAATGTATTGTTACTGCAACTTCTCAGTTTTCTTACACTAGAAAATATTGGAATCCTACTTAAATAAGTTCCGGTGAGAACAAGAAAATACAGGGATAATTAATTATCCCCAACAGAAAACTGTAAACACTAAAACAGAAAACCCTAAAACATAAATGGTTGCTCCAAGGAACAATTATTACAAAACAGAAACTTTAATAAAAGGAAAAAAAAAACTAAAGATTAAGATCCTTGCTAAAACGGATTCACGCCTTTTTAACCATAATTAAGAAGAATCATGGTCTCAAAGAATAATATTAACACGTAAATCACTTATTAGTAAGAAATACAACATAAAAATTTACCAATTGAGGTGTCTTTCCAATCAGATATAAGAGTTTAAGTGTAAAAACTTTGAGAACTGAAATCCACAAACTTTTCATACATTTTCATATAAATTATCCAATGTAAATAATATTTCTTATACAACAAGTCATCCTCTTAAAAGATGATACTTTGTTTGCATCATCTCTTTCATCTTGGGAAAGAGAATACATGATGATGCACATTCTATTCAGTTTACCCTACTTTTTTTATATCCATGTTACGTTTAATTACATTTTTCCTCATCTTTTTCTGTAATCAAATATCACATCTGTTTATTTTTCCATATTTTATCTTCTTCCTCAAAGTCAAAAGTCAAAAGTGTGAGAACCAATTCCCAAAACTATTTAACAAAAAGCAGTAACTGGTATAGCATTATCATTACCATGTGCTTTATTTATCCATTGACTAGTGATGATTAACTGAAATCAGCGGTTTTCAAATTTGATAGTTTGAGAAATTTTGTAGATGAACTGTTTGAATAAAGTTCTGGAAGCATTTACTGCCACAATCTGACAGTGAAAATCTGACGGTGAAATAGGACAAGCCCCACCTAATGCTACGAGCTTAAAGATTTTTAGAACAAGAAAAGAATAAAAATTATTTCACATGCCTAAATATTTTACACTCATTTGATACTATTTTTACTTATTTTTTATTTTTTTTCTTGAAATAATACAAATATTTACACTTTTTTAACTATTTTATCCTTATAACTTATATAAATGAATGTAAAAGTATGTCATATTATCATTGCTCAAGAGAAGACAGAGAGTGGAGGACCAAAGTGTAGCCACGTAAACAAAGGCACAGTGCTGTTTCCTTGAAGAAAGAACAGCTCATAGAATGCAATGAATGTGGCAAATTGCCAATATCAACATGCAATGCTACGTCCATGTCCATGTCCATGTCCATCACACATATATAGGAGACAAGTAACCATTTTAATGTTTGAGGTTAATAAAGCCAAAGGGTACGCAGATTCCATACAATATGCACCAAAACCTAGCCAGCTGTGTATTTTGAAGCCTAGTGATTCAGCTGGATCAGGGTAGTAATAACTAATAAATTCTTGTTGTAATACTTTTCACCTACCCTTAACTTTTCTTACTATAAATAGCCCCACTCAGTACCTCACTCTGTAGTGTGTGCCATTTTCATCAATTATTACACATTCTTCTTCTTCTCCCTCTCATTCTTCCACACTGTGAAACCAAGATGAAGGTATCATTTGCTGCTATGCTGCTTCTGTGCCTTCTCCTAAGCTTCTCCTTCTTCGAACTCTCATCTGCCGGTTCTGGTATGCCGCCTTAATCTCAATTAATTAGTGCATCTAATTATCTTTTAAGTTTTCATCATCAATTAAAATTTAGAAATGATGAGTTTATTTCCTTAAAATATATCTTTTTATTATATTTTGAAGCTGAAAAAATAAATCCTTGAATTTCTTTTGGAACTTCGTACGAATCTCTACAATTTAAACCTAGGTTATTATATTCTAAAACTAAATTCTAGATTTTTTTAGTTTTTTTACCGTGTTAATTACTATTATTATTTTAGATTCTTTTAACAAAAGACTAAAACTGACTAATACTCTCCTTCCACTGTTACTGGCAAGCCAATCTTTTATAACTTCACAAGATATCTGAGTTTAGAATAATGCACTTTTGATACAAATTAAGACTAAGCAAACTCATTAAAATTTGTAATTTTTTGAAAAAAAAATGGTGAAAAAGAAGTATGTTATTGTAGTTTTCATGTTTGAATGAGTACAAAAAAAGAGAGTATTATAATGTGTTATTTTTATTGATAAATTAAAGAGAAAAATTTATCTTCAAAAAACATAAATTTAAAACTCTGTACTTCTACTCTCGATTAAATCCAAATTTAAAGTTGGTTTAGTAATATAATTTGTTCCTTATCAATTAATTAAAACATCTTTAATATAAAAAGTAACAATATTTTTCCCTGCAAGATTATGACATAACAGTTATAACTAGATTAGCCTATATTTAAACCTAATTCTATGTTGAAATGTCCCTCTACTTAACCATGAAATCAGGTTTCTGCTACCCAAAGTGCGCGAAGAGGTGCGCAAAGGCAGGGATGAAGGACAGGTGCATGAAGTTCTGCGGAATCTGCTGCAGCAAGTGTAAGTGTGTGCCCTCTGGGACTTATGGCCACAAACATGAGTGCCCTTGTTACAGGGACCTTAAGAACTCCAAGGGCAAGGGAAAGTGCCCTTAATTTATGTATTTACCATGCATCAACCTTCAAACCTTTTACCTCGTGCATGTAACTCCATCTTATGAGATATGAGTACACCTCGGACCCTGCTTTTCTCGGTTGATTAGGTTTTGGTTCTTTGTGTGTTTGTGTAATATATACAGACAGAGTTGTATGGGAGTGTGTGCATGATGAGAGTCTGAATAAAAGGGTCGGTCCACTTTGTCCTAAGTCAGTTTTGTCTGTCTCAATAAAAATGAATTATTGTTATTTTATTTGTTTGTAAATTTTGAAAATTCACCTTCTAATCAGTGAGAAGTGATGTTTTCATTACTGAATTAATTATACTCTACTTTAGTTAAAACTTCGTCTTTTACACTCTACCGTATCAAAAATATTTTAATTCAATTTCAAGGAAAATGCACAGAGTATCTTTAACTTTTTTATGTGTTTTTATATAGATTTTGACTTTTTAATTCTTTGGTTTAATTAATTGTGAGAAACATAAATTCGTTTTTTATATAAATTGTTATTTTTTTTAATAACCTCCATTTATATTATATAGAGATGTTTTTTTTAATTAATGGATAAAACAAAAATAGCAATTCGAGTCTATTCAAGAATACTTTCATATCAACTAATGATATACCAGTCAAATTCACTCCTGAAAAAGAAAAGTAATTTTGAATTAATATTTTGGTTTGGATAAAACATTAAATATCGTTAAACTTTATTTTACCAGAAATACAACATTATATCAATGTTACTAAACTTAGGATAAGCTACTCTAATAGAGATAGTGTGAAAAAATTAGTATCGTTCTAACATGTGCATGATAGATTTTAGTGAGTATAGATAATTTTTTTTTAAATAGTTCAAAAACTTTTCTTTCTTAAATTAATGTAACAATTATATACCATGTAACAAGATCAGAAAGGAGATAAAGATGTTTTTATATTGATTTGTTTAACAACACACAAATTAAGTTTAGTTGTTAATTAATACATTAAGTTTTATTATGCAAATTATCGTTGTTTTATTCTTTTAAATCATATATAGTCACTCCTGACTAGGGATGACAAAAAAATCCGCGCCCACGGATATCCGCGGATAAAATCCGTGACGGATAGTTGATACCCGCGAATATTTACTACCCGCAACCCGCGGGTAGCGGATATTTTAATACCCGCTTATAAATGGGTCGGGTGCGGATATTAAACTATCCGTACCTGCGGATACCCGCTACCCGCAAAAAATAAAAAAAAAATTAATTTATTTTTATTAAGTTAAATTTAATTAAAATTAACATTAATTTATATTTTACAAGATTAAATTTAATTAAAATTGAATTTATATTTATATTTAATTTAATTTATATTATATTATATATATTTTTTGTAATTCTATTTAAATTTTATTTTAATAATTTATTAAAATATATATTTTTTAAATATTTGCGGGTATCGCAGGTTTTAAAATACCCGCAGATATTTTTAAACGGGTATCCGTGCGGGTAGCGGGTGAATTTTTTTTGTCGGGTCGGGTTGCGGGTAGGCACTATCCGTGCCCGACCCGACCCGTTGCCATCCCTACTCCTTACTAACTCAAATGAGTAATTTTTGATAATATTGACATTCCTAACTAGTTAAATATTTGAATAACTTATTATTCTTTTATAAAAATTGGTTATTCTCTAACAATAACCAATTTTTAAGCGCTATATTATAGAAGAAATCATTGAAATCTGGTTAAATTATCTGTCAAGTTTTAAACTAGTGAGCTTCCAAAGGCGAATATATAAGTAAATGTGAATGTAAGGGTGTTCGAGGATTGAAGATTGAAAGTGTTAGTAGAAAATAAGTTAATCAAGTTCATTTGTACCTCTTAAACAACACAGACAATGTTATTCCTTACATTTTGTAAGACATTGATGAAATAAAGTATGACACCCACGAATGAGTGAAAAATGGTCACTTCATGAACACAACAAAACTTTCTTAAGTTGACTTAAGAAAAAGGTTTACGCGACTCGAAATACTGCTAAAAGTTTATTGAGACTAGCTAGTTCTAAGAATAAAAATCCAATTATAAGTATACCTTGCTAGTTATTATAAGATCTATGAGTTATTTCAAAATAATACAAGAGATTTGGGAAGTTGACTATGTTAATTTTAGAGTTCCAGTTTTCAAGTGTAAATAGGTTGATAGCAATTTTGGTGTGGTGACAAACGACCTCGGGTTCACTTTGGTGGATTTTAACAAGATGAGTTATACGGANCATTCTTCTTCTTCTCCCTCTCATTCTTCCACACTGTGAAACCAAGATGAAGGTATCATTTGCTGCTATGCTGCTTCTGTGCCTTCTCCTAAGCTTCTCCTTCTTCGAACTCTCATCTGCCGGTTCTGGTATGCCGCCTTAATCTCAATTAATTAGTGCATCTAATTATCTTTTAAGTTTTCATCATCAATTAAAATTTAGAAATGATGAGTTTATTTCCTTAAAATATATCTTTTTATTATATTTTGAAGCTGAAAAAATAAATCCTTGAATTTCTTTTGGAACTTCGTACGAATCTCTACAATTTAAACCTAGGTTATTATATTCTAAAACTAAATTCTAGATTTTTTTAGTTTTTTTACCGTGTTAATTACTATTATTATTTTAGATTCTTTTAACAAAAGACTAAAACTGACTAATACTCTCCTTCCACTGTTACTGGCAAGCCAATCTTTTATAACTTCACAAGATATCTGAGTTTAGAATAATGCACTTTTGATACAAATTAAGACTAAGCAAACTCATTAAAATTTGTAATTTTTTGAAAAAAAAATGGTGAAAAAGAAGTATGTTATTGTAGTTTTCATGTTTGAATGAGTACAAAAAAAGAGAGTATTATAATGTGTTATTTTTATTGATAAATTAAAGAGAAAAATTTATCTTCAAAAAACATAAATTTAAAACTCTGTACTTCTACTCTCGATTAAATCCAAATTTAAAGTTGGTTTAGTAATATAATTTGTTCCTTATCAATTAATTAAAACATCTTTAATATAAAAAGTAACAATATTTTTCCCTGCAAGATTATGACATAACAGTTATAACTAGATTAGCCTATATTTAAACCTAATTCTATGTTGAAATGTCCCTCTACTTAACCATGAAATCAGGTTTCTGCTACCCAAAGTGCGCGAAGAGGTGCGCAAAGGCAGGGATGAAGGACAGGTGCATGAAGTTCTGCGGAATCTGCTGCAGCAAGTGTAAGTGTGTGCCCTCTGGGACTTATGGCCACAAACATGAGTGCCCTTGTTACAGGGACCTTAAGAACTCCAAGGGCAAGGGAAAGTGCCCTTAATTTATGTATTTACCATGCATCAACCTTCAAACCTTTTACCTCGTGCATGTAACTCCATCTTATGAGATATGAGTACACCTCGGACCCTGCTTTTCTCGGTTGATTAGGTTTTGGTTCTTTGTGTGTTTGTGTAATATATACAGACAGAGTTGTATGGGAGTGTGTGCATGATGAGAGTCTGAATAAAAGGGTCGGTCCACTTTGTCCTAAGTCAGTTTTGTCTGTCTCAATAAAAATGAATTATTGTTATTTTATTTGTTTGTAAATTTTGAAAATTCACCTTCTAATCAGTGAGAAGTGATGTTTTCATTACTGAATTAATTATACTCTACTTTAGTTAAAACTTCGTCTTTTACACTCTACCGTATCAAAAATATTTTAATTCAATTTCAAGGAAAATGCACAGAGTATCTTTAACTTTTTTATGTGTTTTTATATAGATTTTGACTTTTTAATTCTTTGGTTTAATTAATTGTGAGAAACATAAATTCGTTTTTTATATAAATTGTTATTTTTTTTAATAACCTCCATTTATATTATATAGAGATGTTTTTTTTAATTAATGGATAAAACAAAAATAGCAATTCGAGTCTATTCAAGAATACTTTCATATCAACTAATGATATACCAGTCAAATTCACTCCTGAAAAAGAAAAGTAATTTTGAATTAATATTTTGGTTTGGATAAAACATTAAATATCGTTAAACTTTATTTTACCAGAAATACAACATTATATCAATGTTACTAAACTTAGGATAAGCTACTCTAATAGAGATAGTGTGAAAAAATTAGTATCGTTCTAACATGTGCATGATAGATTTTAGTGAGTATAGATAATTTTTTTTTAAATAGTTCAAAAACTTTTCTTTCTTAAATTAATGTAACAATTATATACCATGTAACAAGATCAGAAAGGAGATAAAGATGTTTTTATATTGATTTGTTTAACAACACACAAATTAAGTTTAGTTGTTAATTAATACATTAAGTTTTATTATGCAAATTATCGTTGTTTTATTCTTTTAAATCATATATAGTCACTCCTGACTAGGGATGACAAAAAAATCCGCGCCCACGGATATCCGCGGATAAAATCCGTGACGGATAGTTGATACCCGCGAATATTTACTACCCGCAACCCGCGGGTAGCGGATATTTTAATACCCGCTTATAAACGGGTCGGGTACGGATATTATACTATCCGTACCCGCGGATACCCGCTACCCGCAAAAAAAAAATTAATTTATATTTTATTAAGTTAAATTTAATTAAAATTAACATTAATTTATATTTTACAAGATTAAATTTAATTAAAATTGAATTTATATTTATATTTAATTTAATTTATATTATATTATATATATTTTTTGTAATTTTATTTAAATTTTATTTTAATAATTTATTAAAATATATATTTTTTAAATATTTGCGGGTATCGCAGGTTTTAAAATACCCGCAGATATTTTTAAACGGGTATCCGTGCGGGTAGCGGGTGAATTTTTTTTGTCGGGTCGGGTTGCGGGTAGGCACTATCCGTGCCCGACCCGACCCGTTGCCATCCCTACTCCTTACTAACTCAAATGAGTAATTTTTGATAATATTGACATTCCTAACTAGTTAAATATTTGAATAACTTATTATTCTTTTATAAAAATTGGTTATTCTCTAACAATAACCAATTTTTAAGCGCTATATTATAGAAGAAATCATTGAAATCTGGTTAAATTATCTGTCAAGTTTTAAACTAGTGAGCTTCCAAAGGCGAATATATAAGTAAATGTGAATGTAAGGGTGTTCGAGGATTGAAGATTGAAAGTGTTAGTAGAAAATAAGTTAATCAAGTTCATTTGTACCTCTTAAACAACACAGACAATGTTATTCCTTACATTTTGTAAGACATTGATGAAATAAAGTATGA